GGAATAATCGTCATAGCTATTTTTGGCAAGGTATACACCTCTAGAATTGGAAAATATGTGATAGCATTGCAGCGCTGGCAGCTTTTTGGGTGTTATCACCCTATTTTTTCAAAATGTCCATCAAAATGCTTGTTACCACTCTAGGGGCGGTATACCTTGCGCATGCTCACTATAATCATTTATGCCCTGATTTGATACTGACCAAACCCCCAGGCTGATGGCCTAACTGACAAAAAAATTACAGTTGTAAAAAACATGACATTATATGAAGAAACTGAACTAAGTGAAAATAATTTACCGTAAAATAAAATGGATTAAAATCATGATTTAAATAAAAGGAATCAAGTGATGAGTTCATAGTTTTACTTCATTACATTTTGCGCATCGAAGAGTGAGCTGCACTCTATCTGCACTGCATTTCTGATGTTAGTCACTTTAACAACGACCCGACCTTTTCCATCTTGAAGATGAAGTAATGTTACACCTTACCAGTGATAGATGGGATCTACCGAAGGAGCTTCCAACCCAAAGAAACTCTTTAAGAGAAATTATCCCCAGAAAAAAATAAAGGTGGAAAATGCCACCTCTGTTTGACACCTCGGAGGTCTCCGGGTGCGAAACCTATGGGCCAGCTGAGTGATGCTAATTGGTGCCCCGTTTGTCACTGGTAACCCGTGTTATTGGTCATTTTGGGGACCTTCTGTGACAACATCGTAAATTCCCTTCCCGGGAGTTCGGGAACTGTGATGATGATTGGTGTTTTATGGGTGATTTCTTAGGGGGTTGGTTCACCCCAAATTGCAGAGGGCTTGCTCTGAAAAGGGCAAGATTGCATGAAGTTTTTCCATCATTTGTGTAAAACACACACATCCCAATAACTTGGATTTTGCAGTGTTCATTCCAAAATTAAAACAAAATTATCAATGTGATCCAAATTGATAATTTTGATAATTGTTTATCCAAGACAGACTTTAAATATTAAGTCAAGAAATATCCCTCCCCCTTCCCCCAAAAGATTCTAAAATGTCCCCCCAAAACCCCAAGTCTTCTATAATTGTCAAAAATCCTCTCCAATTTTTCCATCTGACATTTTAAAAAGCAGTTTCCCACTCCTGACTTGACTCTAAAAGTCACGAAGTCCCGCACGAGTTGGTACTGGGGGACAAACATTGCGAACAATACAACAAACGCCCAGTGTTTGCACACCGCATGCCCTAGTGACCTTCGATTACCGGCTCGCGGACTACCAGGGATCGATTACTGCAGCAGTTTGATTTCAGTGGGTATCGATTATTTGAAGGGGTTCAATTTTTCCCCACGAGTTTCGCTGCCCTGGCGCCAACCTGACGGTGCTATTTTTTTTGTCAGTAAATATCTTCGAATTTCGTTCAAATATCCTCCAAAGTTTGCAGTATTATCCTGTTGGTGTTGGAAAAACTACACTGTGTTTTTGCCTGTTTTCCAGAACGGTTCCTGATTTTTTTATGCCAACTTGCACTTGTCATGTCATTTTGTGTGACCCACTCTGTCAAAATCTGTCATAAACGATAGTTTGGCATTCAAATACAATTTTAGACTACAGACTGTTAATTTATTTTATTGAATTAAACTTCTGCAAACTGCTTACTAGGAGTTATAGTTAGAGGCCTGATGTTTTGATTCTAGTACACTAGAAGTATCTTTCCTTTTTTAAATGCATGTTTCCCCTGAACAGAGGTATAAAACCACAAGAGAAATTAAAAGAGTTAACAGTAGGTACTCAGGAAAACTTCTTTTGTCGTAAAAAAATATCCTGCAATGGTCGAGGTATTATGCACTCTCACTTATTTCATTTACCCATTTTTAAATTTTTGGGGGGGGGGGGAAACATTTACCAGGACCCGTATCTGTTTGCACTTTCAGTTCCAGAAAATCCAATTCTTTGTGCTTGGATAAATGTGTCTGTATATCACCCAGACTTCTAATTCCGACTAGATTGCCAATTGTTACACAGATATACTCTCTACTTGAAATCCTATCCACCACAATAACCACGCACTTTTACCATCAAGATCACCTACATCTCAATCTCTGCATTCTGATTGGCTGTCAGGAAAAGACCCTGTAGCCAATAGGCAGGCACTTTGGGTATTGACTTGGCAGGGTTCCAATTGCTGGGGTGTTTTTTTTTACAAGATGCTCTGGTTCATGGCGCAGTGTGGAAATACTGATGTCACTGGGTGTTTGTTAAATTGTAATAGAAGTAAATCCAGTTGAGTTTTAAAATTCCTTAAATGTTACAACTTTCTGTTATCAAGGTGTAAGAAATACAACAAAGTCTTAACCTAAGCTACAACTTTCTATGATCAAGTTGTAAGAAAAACAACCAAGTCTGAAGTCAATGTACAATTTGTTGTGATCAAATTGTAAGAAATACAACAAAGTCTTAAACTAAGCTACAACTTTCTATGATCAAGTTGTAAGAAAAACAACCAAGTCTGAAGTCAATGTATAACTTGTGATCAAATTGTAAAAATCACAACCAAATCTTAACCCAAGCTGCACTTTTCTGTGATCAAGTTGTAAGAATTGCAACCAAGTCTAAAGTCAATGTACAATTTGCTGTGATCAAATTGTAAAAATGGCAACCAAGTCTTAACCTAAGCTACAACTTTCTGTGGTCAAGTTGTAAGAATTGCAACCAAGGCTGAAGTCAATGTACAATTTGCTGTGATCAAATCGTAAAAATGGCAACCAAGTCTTAACCTAAGCTACAACTTTCTGTGATCAAGTTGTAAGAGTTGCAACCAAGTCTTACGTCAAGCTACATCTTGCTCTGGTGGATTTATAAATATGTGCAACAAAACCAGGAGTGACTAAAAAATTAATTGGAACTAGGGTCCATTGACATCAATATTACTCGATTACTCAATATCAATGTGATATCGATATCGTTGATATCATTTTCTTATTCATATTGAAATATTGATAATAGAAAATGATATCGGGAAAAAACTTGTTCAGCCGATGCGTCTCTGCATGATCAAACGTGGTCGGACCACTGAAAAAAAAAATTTTGTGTCAACAGAAGATAAAATAGTTCCCTTGCAGGTAAAATAGTTCCCTTGAAGTGACAATTAAGCTAAACTTACTAATTACGATAAGTCAAAAAGGTCAAAATACATATGTTTTTATCACGATGTCCACTTATCGGCATCCGAAGGTATGGCAGCATCAACATTTTGGTTGTGTGGACAATTTGGGGGGGGGGGGGGCTTCAAACATTTTGTATGGCTCAAGAGCGTAGTTTAAGCAATTACAAAAATACTATGCGGACATTTAAAAAAGATCTCCGAAAAGGGAAGATACACACTTGAATGCCTAGCAAGAGGTTGCAACATGTCTTGTACATGTAAATAATATTCGATATATTGAATATAATTGATATTAGCATCGATGATCAAAAATGACGATATTGAGGGGCCATAAATGGAACACATGTTCAAAATGTCTGAAAGTAAAAATATATTTGAAGAACTATAAAAAGAACTGAAAAATGTTGAATTCTATCCGTCACTGCCAGGTTTTTCAGATATGAGTGAAATTGAGATCTGTGAGAATGGAGCAAAAATGAAAAATACAAGAGTCCGCTTTTTGTTTCACTGATGACAAAATAAGTTGTTTTCCTAATGACGCAGCTGCGTCTTTTGTTCGCCTTCAAACTCAGATCATCAAAATTCCTGTCTGGTGGTTGACGTGACATTCTGATTTACGACCAAGGCGACGCTTTTCTATTTTCTCCATTTTTTTGGCAGAAAAATAATCATTTGAAACATTGGGAAAAAAAAGAAAATTTAGTTATGATGTTTTTTCCCGCCCTTTTTTTTTTACATTAAAGCAAACAAATTTGAAGCTTCAATTCAATTGGCCATTTTATTTATTTCTAAAACTACATTAGAAGTATTTCAAAAGTACCAATTGCACTAGAATTGTTGGGGGAAAAATCTGGTGTTCCAACCAATTTTTTTTTTTTTTTTTAAGGGGGGGGGGAGGATTACAAATATGTCTTTACCCATGTATGCAAAGTGAAAGAAAATTCTTTCAGAACCAAGTCATCTAAAATTTGTGCAAATCCTTGGTCTCGTTTTCATTCGATCATGCAAAGAATTGAAATCGCACCAAAGCTATTTCTGTTAAACTGAAAATTGCAAGAAAAATATCCGTCTCCTAGATTTCGGTTTAAAGATTGGTATACAAAAGGAAATATTTAAATAAGTTTGAAAATAATTTGTTCACACTGTTAACGCCCAATGCCCATAAAGTGGTTAAACTTACATATTTCTGTGTGTAGGTGTATTTTTTTTTTTTTTATGAAGACACAAAATAAATTGTACAGGCATGCAACTTTTCCCTCGTATCCACTGATTTTCTCGTTTTTCATTTCTCATGAATGCCATTTCAAAGTGAAAAACACTGTACAAAGTCTTGTGTGGTTTGGAATTTCCTCGTTTTTTTTCTTCTAAATTCCAAGTTGCATGTCTGATGTAGTTTTGATATTAAAATGTGCTTCACTCGAAAACCTACAGCTTTTACTACAGGTATGTTTCCCTTGCACAGCTTAATGCAGTACTTTACAAAAACGGGAGAATTTTTTGTAATCCTTTGTGAAGTATGTTTAGAACAACTCCCAAACAATCTACGTTTGGAATTCTCTCTGGTCGCTTATTAACACCAGTAATCCCTTCCCAAAATGCCACAAACTTCAAAGGCTTGGTAAAGTTATATCCCATTCATATTGAAAGTAGCCTAGCTTTTGTTGATGGGTGTTTGTGGGGGTGATTTCTAAAGGATCAAGGGTATTAGAGTTAAAGCAAACATTCATAAAAAAAGGTGTACCCCTGATTGTGATCTTAATTGAAGTGACAAACATTGGGGGTAATTATACACAGAGGGGCGGGCTTATACCCAAACTAAGGTACCAGTACTCTACCCCTATTGGGCACCTGGTGTGCATGCAGTGATGCTGGATATAGTGTGTCATGTGGGTGGTATCATTTGGAATTATGCTCACAGTTAGTGCGGTCGCTCAAACGTTGACAGACAGTGCGGTTTTTCTTTCTTTTATCAGAACACTGATTTCTATCTCTTTGATTGGCTTGCCTTCACTTGCCCTGGACAAATTTGTTTAAGAAACAACAAGATTTTATTTTTTTTAAAGTTGGCAGTTTTCCATTCACCGGTTGGAAGAAAGGGTTGGTTATTTTGGGTGGTTTCTTGTTGTCAAGCACTGAGTGTTGAGCCTTCCGCTGCGGTTTCTCTATACGAAACACAGGCTTTACTGAAAACCTTTCGCATCCATGTTTGAAACGGCTGTCCTGATGCATGTTATCGGTGACTAGGATAGAGTGCTGTCGCAGTAGTAACTGATCCGTATTGGATTTGGAAAGCACAGCTTTTCAGGGCTCGGTTGTTTGTTGGGCATCGCACTGATCACAGACACCAGAAGCTCAATTTGGCTGCTGACCCTGCTTGCTGAAGTCTGCACATCACTGCTCACAGTATCCAGCAGAGGACACAGCTCCTACTCTGGACTACAGCACTGTAGAGACCATCTCCGTACTGCACAGTGCACACAGTTTGCATAGTGTCTATACACCAACAGTGGAGCAACCCGCATCGACGGAGCAACCGTGCCGCCCGTTCTCACCACCGGTCGAGTGATTCAGCGCCCGGTCGCCAGTCAACGGCATCAGCCCCAGCATCCTCGTAGTACACGCACCCGCATGCTGCACACTGCTTACCGTTGTCGTTCATACAGTACAGTCAACGGCACGTTCAGCAAGTGTTGAAGATTTTGATACAATGGAGGCCAACCCAATGTCCATGTACTACAGCTGGCAACTTTACCTCTCGGCCTGCCGGGACCAAAACATTTACCTGTGGCACAAAGGTAGGCCAGATTTTCCCCCCTTTTCTGGAAAAGTCCATCACTCCCTCCCTGAACCCATTTTTGGCAAAAATTGCAAGAATTTCTGCCATGTTTTGTAAATTTTTCAGAGCCATTTTGGTGGTGATGATAGAAAAATTTTCTCTAAAATCCAGAGTTTATATTTCCTCAATGAACTGATGTTTCTAAGGGGAAATGTCTTCATGTTTCGTTTTTGCTCTGAAAACAGTTCATATTTGTCTGTTTTAATCAGTTAGATTTTTATAGGAATTTTATCGATGAAATCTTTTCTGAAACAATGGTGCGGCAGACATCTTGTCCTCATTTTCTTGACCTCTTGCTCCTATTTTCGCCTCCAAATTTCCACCAGATTTTGTCAATTTTACCACAGTTTTGAGAACTTGGGGTAACCTAGGGAAATCAGCACCCGATTTCGTGGAGTGAATTTGGAAGAAAGTAGCCCCCTTTTTCGGAAATTCGTGGAATGGTCTTGCTTGGTTGCTGTCGACGCAACTCATGCAAAAAACATCATGGTGCCATGATGTTATAAGCAGCTAATTTGAGATCAAATATGTCCGCTAAATTAGGATATAATTCCATCAGGAAAATATCGCAGTGATGTTGCTGCAGTACAATAAATTTCATGTCCGTGATGAAACATTTAATATTTCTCTAATTTAGGAGTTTAATTTTTGTGTTTGAATTGGAAGAATGGGCATGATACATTGAATCGTGTACAACTATGTACTTTGTGGGTACCTTATTTCAGAATAGTGAATTGATCAAGGAAATAAAATGTGAACATGTACCTGCAAAAATGAAATGTGTATTTTGGCCTCATTGAGAGATCAGAAACTAAGGAATTGTTCAGTTAATTTCGTTGACCGAACCAACTAAACAAAAGTGGCCGACTCGGTATGAAAAATTGTAAAATTTCGTGCCATCAATTTGCCAGACTTTGCTGATTGGCGTTGCGACGCCGGTACGTACGGTAAACTATGATGAATTCTACAGCAAGAAACAATCTCATTTTTCCCAAGAACCAGGTGAAGACAAAGACATGTTGATGATTTCATTGTCCCTTGATGAAGATTTTGAAGATCTGTTATTTTTGTTTTTTTAATGAACAAGCTCTGTTCAGCACGCCGTCTGTGTTTCAAAAATGAATGTATTCTTTCTCCAAATCTTTTTCTTTCTTCTGTTCCCCCCATTTTTGATGTCAATATTTTAGAGCTGAGATTTCTGAGATTTCCTGACTACTTATAAAAACCTTTTTTTTTCCCTCATTTGAATCTGAGTCTGTTAAGGATGTCTGAATGTTTTTTTGTTGCTGCCCCTATCATGTGTCGTACATGTATATCGTTTTGTGACATTCGATGCTTTTATGCATGTACGTGAATGTTCTTGCAATGGTGTTATCTTGCGGGCTGGCAGGGTTTCGAAACATTGTAAACGCGTTGTTTGAGAGGTGGCTGAAATGTTGTTGAAATAGTTTTCTGGCATTGAAAAATGATGTACCTGCAGTCGAATCGAAATTAATATCTTCCTTTGAGTTCTTCCGAAGTTGAAAAAAAAAAAACGATGACAGCATTGCATTCAGTTGATGTGACAAATTTTTGCTTACTCTGCACAAAACTACATTGCGGATTACAAAATTTAGTCATTTTTCCTCAATTTTCTATTCCAAGACCGTGTTAAATCCTATCTTTTTTTACCTTCAAGGACCAAACCCTTTTTTGATTTGAAACAGTTCACAGACTTCAAAGCTTATTATGTAAAAAAAAAAATGGCCCTGACGACATCTTTTCACTTTTTTGCAGGCTAGCAAATAAATTCCCTTCAAAAATTAATTTTAACAAGGTTTATGAGTTGGTTTTGAAAAAGAAATGGGTTGATTGTGTTTTCTTACTGCCAGATTCTGGAGTAGTCTTTTGGGAGCTGTATCATTTCAAACTCAAGTTTTGAGATCTCCAATTCGATACAGATTCTTACAATGTAAAACATGACTTTCAACTTCTGTCCCGTAGTACCAATTGTGGCTACAAAATAGTAAAAAAAACCTCAATTTTTGCCAAAATTCTTGTGTTTGCAGTGATTTGAAGTATTGGATAGAAACTGCTTCATCCATTTCCGTTGAAACATTTCTTACTTGCCGAAAATATGGGGATAAAAATGGCTACTTTCCCCTCCATATGGAACAGATGTGATTTTGTGTGTGCATGACTTTGTGACTAATTCTTACTCATGCGCTGTCCACTTCTACACATCATACCTTAATTTCCATACAGTTGAAAAACTACATCTGTTGCAGAATTTTATAACAAAATATCGTCTTAGGATTCAGAATTGTGTTAATTTTTTTGTCTGGAACGTGTCCGCTTTTGTTCCATCCATGTTCTAGGTTTCTTGTCAGTTTTGAAACTACAGAATTTGAAACAAATATCATGTTTGTACTCAATTTTTCTGTCAGGAAAATGTCAGCTTTCGCTCCATTCATGTTCTAGGTTTCTTGTTAGTTTTGAAACTACAGAATTTGAAACAAATATCATGTTTGTACTCAATTTTTCTGTCAGGAAAATGTCAGATTTTGTTCCATCCATGTTCTAGGTTTCTTGTCAGTTTTGAAACTACAGAATTTGGAAACAAATATCATGTTTGTACTCAATTTTTCTGTCAAGAAAATGTCAGATCTGTTCCATCCATTTTCTAGGTTTCTTGTCAGTTTTGAAACTAGGGAATTTGAAACAAATATCATGTTTGTACTCAATTTTTCTGTCAGGAAAACGTCAGCTTTCGTTCCATCCATGTACTAGGTTTCTTGTCAGTTTTGATACTACAGAATTTTGAAACAAATATCATGTTTGTACTCATTTTTGTCAGGAAAATGTCAGCTTTTGTTCCATCCATGTTCTTAGTTTCTTGTCAGTTTTGAAACTACAGAATTTGGAAACAAATATCATTTATTTACTCAATTTGTCTGTCAAGAAAGTTTCAGCTTTTTGTTCACGTTTTAGATTTTTTTGTCACTTTTGAAACTGCAGAATTTTGAAACAAATATAATATTTGTACTCAAGTTGTTTGTTTGGAAGTTTCAGATTTCATTCTGTAAATGTTTTAGATTTTTTTTGTGTCAGTTTTGAAACTACAGAATTTTGAAACAAACAACATTATTGCCCTCAATTTGTTCGGAAGGTTTCAACTTTTATTCTGTCCACGTTTTAGATTTTTTTTTCTGGTCAGTTTTGAAATTACAGAATTTTGAAACAAACATCTGTTTCTTGTTAATTTTTTTTCAGTCTGGATAGTTTCATCTTTTGTTTTCTCCATAGTTTAGCTTTCTTGTAAGTTTTGAAATTTGCAGAATTTTGAAAAAGATATCAATCTTTTTTGTTCATTGTTTTGGATAGAATGTTTTGGAAGTACCCGATTTTGTTCAGCACATGTTTTGAGTTTTTCATCATTTTTTGTTCATTCTTTTGATCTGGACAGAGTCGGCTTTAGTTCAGTTCAGTCAGTTTTGTTCACATTCTAGGTTTTGTTGTCAATCTGAAACTGCCGGCCAATGTATGCAGAATTTTGAAACAAATATCAGCTTCTGTAAATTTTTGTACAATTATTCTACATGAATATTTAAGGTTTCATTTCAGTTTTTGAACTGCAAAAATTGAAACAAATACTAGGTTTGCATTCGTTTTTGGATGTTTTAGTTTCTGTTCTGTCTTTGTTTCAGGTTTTTCTTGTTAATTTTGGAACTTCCAAAAATGGCAGCATACACATATGAACAAAACAAACGGTTGATTTTCAAGGAAGAAACAATTTGCGTAACTTATAGGTAATTTTGTTTTAATCGTCTTAAGGATGATTAGAAGAAAAAAAAGGAATTGAAACAGATTTTGTTTCTTGTGGCAATACAAAGCTCTGCCTAATGAGTTTTAATTTCTGGTCATAAAGTGAAAGTATCATATAAGCGAAACAAAAAGTGTCAATTGCGTTACATCTGGAACCGAATGGAACACTTGTCACTTGCATTTCTGACTGGGTTGTGCAGAATTGATCGGTCTACAACACCAGAATGATTGGCGTGACCAAAAGGACAGCAAGATCGCTTGAAAAAACTCTCCGCTTGTGCATTAAAATTGGGCAAAATTTATTGAGTTTCTGGTGTCTATATAGGGCCTATATGCAATACAGAATCATGCTGTATCAAGTTCATTCTTCTGCATGTACATGTTCTTTGTATAGACTAATCTGGCGGTAGCCATTTTTCTGAGGTGGCACCAGGGTCGCTTGAGTCACGCTCACGTAGTACATACGCACTTGGAGATCCTTCGTCCAATAGAGTTACCAAAATGCACTCGCGCCTTGTCTTTAAGAACGCGTACAGCATGCGCTTGAGTGTGATATCGCTGCAGTAACTGCTTCTAATTCTGGTTGCAAGTTTCCGCTATAGACCCCTATACATTTGTACCATCGATCTTTCAGTAGCTTGTAGACATACATTGTATGTGCAGCAGAAAATATTTGAAAGGAAGTATCTTTTTAAAACAGTTTACCCCTAAAATGGTGGAATCGATTTTAAATATGGATAATCGCTGACTCTTTATGAGCATTAACAGAAATAAAACCAATAATTTTCCAGGGGGAAAATGGATAAAATGAAAGGTCACGGGGATAGCATTTTTCCAAATTTTTCCAGATTCTTGATAAAAAAAACCTTGTTAATTAACGATCAGTTTTCATCACTGTGTTTTGTTTTGTTTTCTGTTTTGGTCCAAGGTTTATGTAAAAAAAAAATTGCAGTTTAAGGGAGTGCCTACACTATTATGTTCTGTTCATAGATCTTGTGTTGCTCTGAAACTCGACCAAATTTTTTTCATGGTTTTTTCATTTTCTCCCAATCTCAAAAACCTGAAGAATTTGAAAATACTGAAAAGGAATAATAAAGAATTTAGCACATTTGTAAAGAAAATCATGGGTTAATTTTATTGGGCATAATGAAAGAA